AGAACCGGATTCTGACCCTCGACACAACTCGACAACGGCCACGACCTCTCGACCCGATGAGCGCATTGTTTCGATGCAGCTTCCGGAGGGGTGTCGTCCTCAGGAGTCTTCTCCACCGAACCAAGACCACGCATTGGTTCAGCACCCTTTGTGTTCTTGCGGCTTGGTTTGGGGTATATGTAGTTCCGGGGGCACATCAGTCGGGCGGCCACAGAGCAACAAACCAGCCACTTGTTATGCACGTGACTTCACCGCGGTGTGGCTTCTTATGATCAAAGTACAGTGAGCTTGGCATACGCCTCTATACCGTGTAGACGAGGTGAACGCAGCCGTAGGGGCATGAGCGTTGATGGAGCCGATCGACGGTTGTGACTAGCGGGCGGCACGCCGGCTTGCAGGTGGTGGATTCTCAACGTGTGCAACAGCGACCGAGGACAACGATTTTGGGCATTCCTATGGTTTCCACAAAAAATTTGACGCTCAAAATATTTCGAGATTCTTTTTTATGATCTGGTCGGCACTTCTGAAATGAGTATTCTCCAGGCTACCTCTCAGCGTAACCTATTCGGTTGTAGACTAGTAGTTAGGGCCCGACTCAAGAAAATTCGGCTCCATTCAACATTCGCCAGAAGTAAGAAAAATCGACTAAGAAACACAACTCAGTCGTGGATCCGCCACAAGACTCCATGCTATGACCTGTGCTCGACGGTGGTAACGAAAAAAGAAGTTGAGCCTCGACCCCAAATTGATTTTTCATATTCGCGGGCCGCAACCAACTGCAGTCCAATCTCATTGGGACACTAAGAATCAATGACCTTCAATGTTGCGGTACAGCAGTTGCAAAATACCTGAACATTTCAGAAACCGAAGGACCTGTGGTACTCCACTCGAAACTCATGCAGTAGCAGTAGCAGTAGCATCTTGGGAATCTGGGAATGTATCAAGTCAGCGGCCCAGGTGCTTTATTGAAACCACGGAGTCTCACTCGAGAGAACTCTGTCTGTTGTTGCCCATGTCGAAACTGAATGGACCTACTATCCCAAACAAGCGGTGTCTTCACCACTTCGTCAAGGTGCACCTCGTGGCAGTCTTCTCGTCGGTTGGTATAAAACTGTATGAGCATTTTCCAGGTCGAACTTTCATTCGCAACTACCACAGGTACTGCCGTCGTACATGCCAATCGTCCGTAGGCACATCCATTCGTCCGTAGCACACAGTTCAAAGCCCAGACTCGTGCGAATGTCGGAGTCGAGGTGCACTTCACAGCGGAGCCCTGCACGCTGAAGCATACGTGCACCAGCGCCGGAAAAACGAGCACGCAACAGTGAAAGTGTTGCTTGGCGTAGTTTCGTTTCGTAAAGTTGGCACATCCTCGCCAAATATTCATTCATTCGTTTGCCCAATTCAATGTGTTCCAAATATTATCGTACCGGCGAAGGAACAATAAAAACTGGGAGTTCTTCTGTCGGACCTCTGTCCGCAAGATGTAGTTCTACCAGCGTGCGCCCGATCTTGGTTGAAGTCATCCCATCATGCATCTCTCACGTACAACACAACTGGCACTGTCCACCGTCCCAGGGTTGTTGTATGGTCTAGATACAGAGATACAACATCATTGCCCATTGAGCCGCCTGGAAAAGCACATTGTTGTTGTGGAAGGCCCTTCCCAAACGTTACGATGAATGATTGTGTCCTTGTCACGAACGGTGTCAGGCGTCGGGTTTCTTTCGTTACTGTGGAAGCCCTTGTTGTGGAAGCATACTTGGATCTGTCTGGAAGGTTGGAGAAGGCGTTTTTCGAGTTTCCACTTCACGAGTTCTATAACGCTGTCCGGGGGGTTGTACAAGTATGTAGAGTACGGATCTGTCACCCCCTGTTCCTATTACCCTTCCTCAGCTGCTGCCCGCTGGTTTGTGCTGTGCGCGCATCATCAACCACATCCCAACCACGGTGATTGTGTTGCGATTTGATTCTTGTAGGCTGAGATCCAGGTGGTGGGGAAGGCTTATCTACCCGACCGGTGGGGTGGATAAGAAATGGTACCCAACCGGTATTTATTTACTGCGGCTGTAGATATGCGGAAGAGGATACATAAAAGCTGGTCGCTGCTTGATGGGAAAATCGCCGCACGCAAGTTGCAAGGGCGCTGTGATTGAACGCGAGGCTAAATAGGAAGATAGGAAATGAATCCCGGCGCCTATCCGCTCTATCAGCCTTATTGGCGGGCCCTCTGTCAGACCAGTAGCAACCATGGTTTGAGAGTCAAGAGGAGGTAACGCTGAAGATGCCTCCATGTGGATGGGTGAACCGCACCATGCAGTGACGCAAGTTCTCAGAATGCGATGGCGGCCAGGGGAGTGCGGGGAGTTGGCGACGGCCAAGAAGTTGCCTGCAGAGCTGCTGTACGGAGTACACACAAATGACCCCTCCATGCCTCCATTCGAACCAATGCACGTGTGTGTCTCTCGTTTGTCGAGCCGAAGTTTGTACCTGTACAGTAGCAGTAGTCTATCCATATCACCAATCACCGAGGGTCGGCAAAGCGGTCTATTTGTCTGCTTTGCATACGTGCGAATATGAATATTTGTCTGCTTTGCACACGTTCAGGAAGTAGTTGCGCTCCCCAAGACCTCCACGCTCACCTCTCTCTGTATACGAAAAAGCTGGTCCCGTTTCCCTCGCCAAGTCAGCCTGTCTGGTTGGCTAGCGTTCAATGCAATTGTATCTCCGGAGAAGACGAGAGCGGTGCAAGTTGCTGATTTGCTGGGTCTCCCCTGGTGATCGTACCGACGTACCGACCCCCCCGCACTCTGCCAAAATTAGCCCAAATGAAACACTTGCGAGACCCAGGGGCCAAGGGGACAGCTTACGGTGGTTCTCGCAGGGTGCACTGCTGCTGTTTTTCCGGTGTGAGTGATAAGATGATCTGACTGGGTCGAGGGAAACGTGATGCGAGTGGCGAGGGAGGTCTTCAGGTTTTCACGCCTCATACATCGGCGAAGATAAAAAAAACTTGCACTCTTTTCGGTTCTATTCGACAGTCCCGCTGTGAGAACGGCGCCGTACACGCACGGGACGTTGTTGCGTTGACAGAAAGTTGTTCTTCTTCAATAGACATGGATTCGTTGGGTCTTCTGTTCGACCTCCTCTTGGGTGACGGTTGACCCCTCGGTTGATACACCATATGTAGTTTACACACCGTCCTAGAATTACTCTGTACATTGAATGGCGCCAGAGAAGATGGGAGACCAAGACACCCACAGCAGTACAGCACAGTCGTTCCGGTGATCTGAAAACCTCTTTGCTTTTGTTTCCTCGTTGCTGAACAGCTCCTCATCCGCTTCTTTTTGGGATAAGTCTTTTCACATTTTTATTTGTTTCGAGTGCCCCACCTATCCCCTGCAGTACTTTTGCCGTGGTTTTTATCGCAAGAGCGATCCCTGTCCCTCGTCGACCTTGAAGCCAAAGTGTGTTTACTCACGAACGACCGATGCTTACGTTGAGTTGCTGGAAATGAACCCCACGAAAAAACCTCCTCACATAGAAACACCCTGTGCTTTTTAAATTATTAGGAGTCGGGCCTGGTCGGGCAGACCAGTACAACCGTTTATTTTTTTTATTTTCCTTAATATGACACAACGAAACCATCTCTATAAGAGAAAATAGTCTGAGACAGATTAGCAATGGATTCATAGCGTCAGAAAGTACCTGTATGTCTACGATTTCCCAGACAGCATATAGGGACATCTCCCCTGCGGGTAACAGGCTCAACAAGACAGTTTGGTAGCTGTCTTGTGTGTCTCATATATGTTATGTTAGGAAGGTGCAGATGATATGTGTTAGGTACTGGTCGGGCGTTTTGTGTGTGGCACCCTTTTAATCGTAGGGCGTGCAATCTCCCTCAGTTTACAAACGTATTTTCAATGTGGTACGCGTATGTATGTACCGGGTATTTGTGGGTAGTGTATGTGTGGATACATTTCGGAGTATGTGCGGACACACGTTTATTTTGAGAGATCTCGCCGTCTTTTCCGGCGGGCCTCGTCGGCCAATAGTCGGGTCAACACGAACTGGTTTTTGTACCTCATCTACACAGAGTCAATATGCGACGACCGTTCACCGAATGATGGGCAAATGTTCTGGCTCTCGTGCGCGCGTTATCTATCTTCCGTCCGCGGGGGTGTCCCCTGAGCAGAAACACGCAAGGCGGAATTCAAACAGACGACCTCTGAATACCTGAATTCTGACGCGCGCCTACGAGGACGGAAACAAACTGGCAAGAATCAGGCCATCGTTCCAACGAAATCAAGCAGAAGAATCCTTCACCCCAGCAAATACTCCAGACTATTGTACGCATAGGGGGCTCAACGATTCGGGCGTACGCAGCACGTGAAAGCATTCCCCCTTCGGAGAACTTGGATTGTGGACGGCGGTATTGCCGCCGAACTCATGGCGTAGTTCATGAACAAACATGCTCGCCAAATGATTCCTCACAAGCTACCCCCCCGGGAGCCGGTTAACAATAACCGATGCCCGTAAGATGAGATGTTGAACAGACGATATACCCAAAGTCCGCGCCCAAAGGAAAGTAGCAGGCGAGATCCTGCATCCTTCGGAAGAAAATGACAAGGTGAACGTGCTGACATGAACCCCGCGAAAAAACAACGAAGAGTACATACACTCTATCGAGCCTTTGCTACCCTACAGAGTAGTCGACCATAGTTGGCTCGTCTAAACCAGCCGACATGTCGTCCAGAGGGAATAGAGATTGCACATGACGAAAGCTCCGTACACACTCAATGTTCGACAGCACAGCATGAAGTAACTCGGGAAAACCGCGCGGCTACGCGTATCTCTTGTAGGCAGATTTCGATGCAACACACCATCCACGCGGCTAACAAGAGGCTGCTTGCTCGGAAAAGTACACTAGTCACACAAAATAAACAACATATACGACGGCGAAACGTTCGCGTACACCGCGACCGTACAACCGCCTGCACTCATGCCGGCGCGGGATACTGGTTGCGCACTGGGCCCCCGTAAGCGGGAGGAGCCGCAGTTGCTGCAGCCGCCGGGTACGCTTGGACTCCGGGGGCCGGAACGCTGCCAGGACCCTCGTACGCAGCGGGGGGAAGTTGCGCGACTGCAGCGGAAGAGTACACCTCGGGATACCCCTTGACAACTGACGGCGCCGACCCACCACCAGCAGGAGCATAGGCAGGAGCAGGAGCAGGAGTTGCAGGAGGGCCGGGCTCGCAGCATGCGCAAGAATCGCCGCATGCGCAAGGCTTCAGGCAACCTTTCTTGAACAAGACCGCCAAGATGATCACGGCGGCCAAAAACAATACCCCGCCGATCACACCGCCAACGATGGCTCCCACCGGCACTGAAAAAATAGTACGTCGAGCGAGAGATGGGGGGGGGGGGTTGTTCTAGGTAACAGAAACAGCCAATGATTCAAGAGCGGGGTGGCAGAGACAAGGAAAGGTGTTTTTTTTCGGTGTTCGCTTCCGTCCGCACGGGTGTGGGAAGACACGGGTTATTACATACATCGTCGCAAGCGGCTTCGCAGAGTCAAGGTAGATCGAACACAATCTGATTGATTTCAAAGGCGACCTCAGCCCAAACTACGCACAACTCCGCGTGCGACGACAATCAACTCCGGAAGTATTCCGCGTCCTTTGAATGTCTCTTGCGGATATTCCTTCTCCTGCAAAGTTCCCAGGCTTCTCAGGAACACCATCGCATCACCAAGTTCATCCTTGATAGCTTTTCGGCAAATGGCGTATGAGGCATTGCCTGACATTCCCATCGCAGGTTGCCGCAGGCAGCTGGGACACGTCACGGAAGGGGGAAAGGAGAACGCCCTTCGGCACCATCCGATTTGCGATCCACGCGCCGCATAGGGGTGGGAGAGCTTGTTTTTGGTCTAATGACACGAGCCCAAGCAGGAAGGAGCGTTCCGGTGTTTCTGTTTCTGCTGGGGTATGCTACGTGCTGCCCAATTCCGGGTCAAGAGCCTCCCACTAGTCGGGGTGGAAAATTCAACGAGGTCCAGCAAAAACAGGAAAAAATAGTTTTCGACGAACGAACTCGCGATCACAGCCTTTGTTTAAGGGCAGTCTTGGCGACAAGCATCCAGACCATAAGCCTCGAAATCCAGAACCGGTGCAAGTTCTACTCCACACGACTAGTACACCACCGTGCTATCGAGTCAGAGCGCAACACGGAAAACGTACAGAACCCGCGACTACCAATGAAAAGGGAATCGCGCACAGAACACCCGTCTCGCAACGATGATGCAAAGCTGAACGGGGCTGCGCTGATCACACGAAGGCAAAAGGGGCTCACCATCATCATCATCGTCTTCATCTGTTCAAGTCGGCAATATCGACGGTATCGTCGGCAAAGGACGGAGTCCCGCCACGGATGATTTCCAGAAGGTCGGAGAGAAAGCACACGAAAGGGAGGGAACGGCGCCAGCATGAAAAAGTCATCAAGCGCCCTGCAGGTTGATGCAGCATGGAGGCTAGCCGCTCGCAATACCAAGAGAGTCTACTTCTACCGATGGCAAAGCCGCAAACAGCGGATGAATGCAATAGACCACTTTACAGGTCATGCGTTGCACGAGACGGACGCGAACGTTCAACGAGTCACCACTGCTTAGCACGACGGCTATTTCCACCAGTCAAGGAGGTTTCCAACCAGTGAGTGCAGCTCAGACATTCTCTCGCCAAAAGACACAGTTGATCCGATCCTGCCTGATCGGTGGAAGAATGACATGAGGTTTTAGTGTGACTTGCTCTCTTACCCTGGGATGTGCGGGAATAGTCCGACCACAGATGTTTTCCTTCGTTTAGTTACTGACTATTTAAGCTTTCTATTGCATTCCACGTACACCATGCAGCCCAGATTCCAACACTAGACCCAATGGCGCACTGAACCGAGGGGACTCAGAACAACTCGTGAATCTTGCCATGGGGTAAAAAAAAAACAAAACATCTGACAACGCGAAATAACCATGGTAACGAACCATCACGCGGTTACCTCAAATACCAATACAACAACCATCCGTTCTCCCTGGGAATGGACGATCGCCCACACATGACTCCCTGCCCGCAGTGCTCGCGGCATGAGGGACCATCTACGCTTCAGTGGCGTGGGGTGGCGCGGCACTCGGATAGCCAGAAATATACTCTACTTGTCTGTCCTGGCTGCCGCGGTAGAAACGCGAGAGTACTCATGCAAGACGCCGACACACTCAAGGGAAATCCTTTCACGATTCGCGTTCCGCGGCTGGCACGCGTGTGCGTGTGTGTTTTTATTGTTAGCATCGACCGCGCTAACCGTTTGACCAATGAAAAGACGTCAGTCTACGTGCGGTTGAAACCACAAAAAAATTCTAAATACCATTAGCTGGGACCCCGTGAGGGGGCGGCATGGGGGAGACTAATCGATTCTCCGGATCAAAGACAGAAACGGTAGCAATACTGTGTGGGTGTGTGTGAAGTCGGCGTTAGGAGTCAACGGCGTGGGAGGATTCATTCTCAAGCAGCGCAGATCATGAACGTGTCATGTCGAGTTCCTCACCGTTGGAGATGGAGTTGGCGTCGGCGTCGGCGTCGGTGTCGGGGTTGGCGTAGCGCATAGCATCATATTCGTTGCATATATTTGGGAAACGGGGCAGCGACAAAATCGTTTGCACATTCCAGCATCGGGAAAAAAATGGGCCGGGGAGGGTGGGGCAGATGAAACAGGGCAAACAACGTGCGTTGGTGTCGCATGGACGCAACGGACGATCCACTGCCTTCGAAGAACAACTTCCCAGTGGTCTAGACCAAAGCGGCCAGTACTCTCTGGATATTCCAGTCTGCGTCAACCTTCGGCACTTCGTCAGTGTGGTGGCCCAACGGAAGGGAAAACTCGGCGCCGACAGCAGTTCAAAGCCTGGTCGAAACGAAAAAAGAGGCCACCACTTAATGTAGGCAGCACCGCAGTACGGACAGCAAAGAAGCAGCAACGGCGACAAAACAATAACGACACCAACCAACTAACCGCAACCACGAACACATGTGGAGGAGTCCTACACTATTGAAACGTTCAAACGTAGATTACGAGGCGGCCTTTCGAGAAAACCCTCATGTCGCCTGATCGCCGGCAGCGGATCCGGCAGTTTTGCCCTCGACAGCCGTCACCTCCGGCTAGAAGCAAAACACGGGAGCATGTGCACACGTGAACATGAAATTGTTACCGGCGAACGACCGGTTCACCGGGGAAAGGATTGTTGACTTACTGCACGCTTCTTGTCAGAACCACATCGCTATAGGCGGCGTACATGCAAACATGCCGATGTAGACCAGCGGTGCAACCTCAAGGTCAACTCACCTCCGCCACACGCGGAAGGGTTGAGGCAGTCGTAATCGGCAACGCCGCAGGTATAAAGTGCGTCGACGCAGTCGCACTCACAGCAGCTGGGCAACGTGGAAACGAGGACAAAAAAAACACACGCCCAAGTTGGACGGACGGTGGCCAACTACGTTCTTTCTCGCGTTGTGTCGTATGCACCTATTGAAGCAGGTCTGCAGCAGCGCGGGAAATACTCACCGCCTACATTCGTCGTATGTTGGCAGGGGGGCATGCGAGACAGGTGCTAGCCAACGGGGCACGTTAGCGAGCACGGAACGGAACGCACGCGAAACAGTCCAGGCGGGTATTGACCTTCGCGGCATGTCCTACATGGCCGTGGAGTGTACAGAGTTGTCAAACGGCTTGATCACGCCACCTCGTCCATAGCTTCGGTGCGGGGCTACAGCAAGGAGAATAAGCTGGTGTAACTACTTGCACGAGGCGACATCGCGAAAGAGAGGCTTTGTGTGCCCCCTAGCACGCCACTTCCCACGCATCTCTCCCCCGACTCTTGGGAGCAACAGCAAGGTGGTACTCACTCTCCCCCATCCCAATCGCACTCCTCGGTGTTATAATCTGGCCATGAGGAACAAATGTCGAAAACGCGAAAAACCGGGACGAAAGGGCATCATGAAAAGCAGCCACGGGGAGACACAAAACCGGGGGTGCATGCCCAACGGGGAAAATGCTCGTTCGCGGTGGTCGCCAGCCGGCCGGCTGTAGGCCGCACATCGGTTTCTTGCTACCACACCAATCAAAGTCGCAGCCAGAAGCGGCTGTCGTTGACAACACACGGCACGGGATTCCAGCGACCATGTGACACTACTGCCCGACGTATGCGTTCAGCGCTCGTGGTGGCCGACGGTGCTCAAAAGCCTTCGCCCGGGAACATACCGACGAATAAACAAGTTCTGCGACTTCTCAAACCATCGAACGCTTCTTGCAAACCCTTAGCGTTGTTCGTACAGCCGAACCTTTCTAGGGGCTTGCTCACGCGATGGTAGAGCTTCTCTACTAGGCTCGCAGCCTGGCGAATGCATTCTTATCGCCCCGGGTGATATGCTCGCCAGGGGATCCTTACTCTTTGGCCGAAAAACTCAACGCAGGATTATTAACGTAGAGACGCGTTTGTGGTTACCTGGATCTTGAATGGGTTCTATCTAGGAGGGCGTCGCCCTATTTTATCAGGAAAATGCCTGGGGTTACGTTATCCGAGATGAATCCGCCAAGTTCGAAGAAATAGTAAGCTACATCCCAGCGACAATACGGTAAACATGCCAGAACTGGGAAAAAAAGTACAACAAAGCTCGTCAAAGACTGCTTCAGCGGGGTATCATGTGAAAAACGTCTTAGGCGAAACCTGCAACAGACAGGCTGCTACTGGCAGCTAGAAAAGCAGGAAAAGTGCAATGAAACGGGAGATGTGTGCGGCATGAAACGGACGGGAAGGGTTCCCGGTTCAGCAAAACCGCCGCCGCGCAGAAGCACAGAGGATCCACTGGAGGCAGTAGTGCCGACAATTCCGCGGCCATCCAACATGCTCTTACGAGGCTCCAGACGAGAATTGCATGAACAGAAGGAAGGCCACAACTTCGCGCTTAGGAGGCCCACAACAGGTTTACTCACAACTGTCGCACCAGCCATCCGAAATGTATGAGCTGCTGCAACCTGTGCAAGGAGGTATCATTTGCAAGAGGGCTGTGTTAAGCAAGCTTCGGGGTGGGGTCATCTGTGCCTTCAGTGTGCACCAGCACTATCAAGGCATCCCGGCGCGTAGGATACAAATTTCACAGCTCTACATACGCGTTCGAGTGAAAGCGAATACATGGAACGGCCTTGGAAACGTGTACGTCTTGCTAATACTTCGCGCACAAAAGGGAACACGTTTCAGCACGTTACAAGTATCTCGGGGTCAACCTTGGCTGGACGGTCCGCGTCAGGCACGCCCTTCAGGCACGCGGTGCAAGCATGGGAAAGCAACGAAGGAACACGAGAATCGAGGCAGGCATCTGATCGGTTTTCGCGGAGGCGAGTCCCCTAACGAAACAAAACTACCTTGAACGTCAAATAAACGGGTTTAAAAACACGCACAGCTCTCTTTGTACGGGTTCCGCCGCAGATGCATCACCCCCTCGAATACCAAACGGTTCTTTGTATTTGGGGGGTGAAATAATTTCCTACCACTGCGTCCACAGTTTATTGACCAACACCTGTCAAAAATGCATCGAAGCGCCCTACGGGACACAAGCTACGGCCTGTTCATACGGGCAATATGTGACGCAGGGGTTCGCACTAGAGATCAGATAATATCCCCGATCAGCCGTTTGTTGTCTGGGCCTGTATCTAAGTTAACATTGCAGGCATAGCGCCACTCTATAGAGTGGTTCCTCCGGATGTGCGCATGTCTGCTGCCGCTGGGTTGCATGCTCTCAAACACATCGAGAGCATGGCTAAATGTCGCCGACTGCGGCTGCTAGTTCTACAGCTGATACGATTGGCCCCTGAACAAACCCCTCCAGCTCGGGAGGTTCAAACGCGCCCAATCGTATCGGCAACAGCCCCATCTCGAATTTCAGGACTCTTGTTTCCAATCTCGGAGAGCCAAATGTTGCATACTCCATGAAACACAACGAGTACGCCTTCGCTCTCTCTCCCGGCAAGCAAGGCCAGCGTATTCGCGAAGCGGCCAAGTATGAGCAGTAGGGGATACCTGAGACGCTGATTTAGACCCTTGCAGGAAGGCGCCATAGTCTGGTGGCGGTGAGGCCACAATACAGGAGACCGCGGGGATCACGGAGTATAAAACCGACTGCAATGCGGCGGCCAGAGGCCAAACCTCTAGACTAGAAAACAAAACAAAAACTCATGAATAGGGGTCGGAGAAGAGGTCGCCACGGCCGAAAGACGACAAGCTGCCGACGGTCGGCGAAGGGGAGGATAGTGCGGTGCACTTGTGGGAGGGGGGCTGAAACGACAACATTGAGTAACCTTTCCTCTACAAGTACGTGCCCCTTCGCGACTTCTGAAGGCTTCGCCAATAAAAAAAACGAGTGCATGATACGTACCTTAGGTGACTCACGATCCCTAAACCCGTCTCTTAGACCCCATGACAGCCCTGTAAGAGCTCACCTGTAGAATAAAAACTCATGGCCTGCGAAAACGGTACGCCAACAGTGGGGGAAAGTAAAACATAAACCGCGAGCGCGAACGGAATAAAGAAAGATGGTACGTCCTTGAAACAAGGCAGAACAACTTGGGAGGAGGAAACAGAGTTCGGATGCGTTTTAGAGAACGCGGGAAACGAATCGACGCGCATGACGGTTACGTGGTGGGGCCTTGGGATAGGCAGAGGCGGGGCCCGCGAGTTGAAGATGTCAAAATTCGCACGCGCAAGCTGTGTGCTGCTCAAGGGCTGTTGAGTTGGAGTTTTCTGCTCGTGTTCTGCTATGGAGATATAACAACGACGACAACAACAACAATTCTGCATAGCTCCTGAACAGGAGCACCCAGCGCCGGTCCAGGTGTTCGCATAGAGACCGAAACGAAAGGAACAGGCATCGACATACGCACGGGCCGTTGCTTCGAGGTGGAGGGAGACGTTTGGTTGGATGGTGAAAGGGGCGCGTCCTTCAAGCACCGCGTGCGGGACTTCTCTTCGTGTGTAACGTCGCACGAACATGCTGTTTTTAGTGCGATCGACGAGGCCGTCGGTCCCTTCAGCAGCTCAGTACAGGAAGTCACGGGGGGACGTGTTCTTCACCCGAGATGTGGACAGACTACAGAAAGCGACACAGAATATGCTTACATAGCAGTTAAGAACTTGAGGCAAAAAAAATCTCAAGTTTAGGAATCTGGCCGTAAGAACGGGTTCTCCGTCGAGAAGGCTACCCTAAAACCTGTACAGTCGCCATGGGGATACCCCATAGACAAAATTACGAGGTTCTTGAGTGGTGGCGGGTTCGGTATGCGCACATCGATAAAAAAAAAGAAGTTGAAAATCGTGTTCACAGAGGCCACTAGGCTATACTACGGGCCTGTTCGACAGGAGAAGTCGCTCCTGCAGCAGATATCGATCAAGCAGTTGGACGATGAGTTGGGGAAACTGGTTTCGGTTCAGACTGTTGGGAAGCTAAAGCTTCATCTGTCCTAGCTGCTCGTACGGGAGAGCAACCGGTCGTCGCGTTCGAGTGTACCTGCGTGTATGCATATGTGTGTATGTATTTAGGCGTGGTGTCCTCTTTCGTAATTCATGAATCGTACTCCTGTACTTGATAGGCCTGGTGTTACCGTACATCAGTTCGGGCAAATTCTATTCAGAAAGGCAAGTGAGGAATCAACTGCTATCGTTGTACGTGATGCAAGAACGAATGGATGGGTCGAGGAAGTATCGATAAGTGAGCAATAGCAGTCTTTTCGTTCTTTTTGACTCTTTTGGCTCGCCGCGAGGACGCATGCGGTGTCCCCGGCGGCCTCCACGCAGAGCCCCGTTCAGAAAAAAACAGGTCTCGATGTGTCTACCAAACCCAAATCGCAGGTACTTCGTCAAGTTGTACGGATATCCGCAAGACTTCGGCGATTTTAACGTTGTGTCGGTCGGGCGGTGCACGCGCCGTCAAGGCCACGGTTTCGAGCGGTATTGTTCCTACGTACACCGCCCCGTAATTACGTGCGACGTAATGACCGATCGGCGCCTCTGCACCGCTCCCTGCCATGTACACATAAAACCGCTCCGCCCCGTAAGACTCTTTCTCTGGGATGAACCGCTCCACTCAACCCTCCGTGCAGGGGTTCATGTTCCGTGGTGGTGAACACAGCTGTGACAAATGTTGGATGCCGCTTGGTTCCGGCGTAGATTTCGGACTGTTTTCAGAGGCCGCTGCGACCTTCCATGTTTCAGCTCCAGTAGCAAACCTGAACGTGCCACCACGCTCGACGACTCTTCACTGTGTCCCCTACTGATGACAGTAGAATGCACTGCAGTAGAGGTCCCTGTTTAGTGCCGGGTGTGCGCAGAATTTTCACCGTCACTATACCCGGCACCGGCACTATTGTTCAGCGTACCTCAATAGTGCCAAAGCGGCACTATTCAGGGTCTGAAATCCCTCAACAGCGCCGATTTGGCACTATTGAGGAGAACTGTGTGATTTCAGAGTTCAGCGCTTACGCTTTGCGGGGCCAACAGAGAACCACATAAAACGTAAATGGTGAGATCATCGCATGGTCGGCGCGGGCAAACTGTGCCACGATAGCAGTGGGTCCTACCCTGTCGAACGCACAGATATTGCTTGTAGAAAGTTAACTGGGTAGGCAGACACGTACTTCATAGCCTAAAATGTCGTGAAAATCATTCTTATGTATATGGCTAAGGATAGACGAAGCATACCTCACAGCTGTGGCATTGGACTTACAGGGATCAAACCATTCCGGGCAAGCTCAATTACTCGACAGCGAAAGGAAGATGCTCACTCAGGCACCCAATGCATCTTTGGCGGTCATGCTGTTTGTTTGTGAAACTCCAATGCATACACTCCTACTAAACGAAAGGAAGCAAAATTTCCTTGCGCTCCTTCGATGTAGCTAGAGCAGGGGAATGTGTGTGATTATTAGCACCGATCTCGCCAACCGGCTGACCGATGAAAAGATGTCGTCAGTCTCAGTAGTGTGGAATGAGGAAATAATTAATGCTAGATACCAAAGCCCATGTGGGACCCCATGGTGTGACTTTTTACTAGCATCGACCCCGTGCATGCGCGTTTTTACTAGTGTGTTTTCGTAGTTGGGATTGACCGTGCTAACCGGCTGACCAATGAAAATACGTCAAAGTCAGAGTGCGGTTGACAACACAAATTTCTTCTGAAGGCCATGATCTGGAGGCCCGTGAGGAGGCGTCACGGGGGTTAAGCTACTCTCCGCACTAACGACACAGACGGCAGCAACAGAAGAAACTGCACATGTCTACCAGGCTGCCGCTTTGTACGTGCGTTCTTTTCGGAGTGCTTTCACCGCCCTTTTTTTTTCGCCAACATTCTCATCACCAAATATTGCAACTATTATTGGCGGACACTCTCTCGAAGTGTGTGTACATATTTGCAATCTTACCGGCTGAACAATGAAAATAAATACGCCAGTCCCAGCCGTCTGAAAACAGAAAATGCTTCTCAAGGCCATGTTTTGCGACTCGAGGAGGTGTGTGGGTGCTAGAACCGGCACTATCATGGGGTGCAGAAGAGCCCGAACAGGCACTATAGTGGGCATCCCTCTAAAGTGCCGGTCTGGCACAAATCAGGCTCCGTCTGTTGTTGTTGTTGTTGTTGTTGTTGTTGTCTTCACATTAAAAACCGTCCCGTTGTTTCTGCCTAGTACCTTCTTCTGTCCGTACTAGTCTAACACTTGACGGGGTAAATTCCCGTGGTCACAGGCTAACTTACCCAAAAGAGGTATACGAAAACAAAATGGACCCGAAGGGTCCGCAAGCCAGTAGCAGTCAACGACAGATAGTCCAGGCCACTCCGCTCGCCTCTACGCGCTATGCAAGGTAACCCTAGATTGGAAAAAAAGAAGAGAGCAGATGGAGAGAAGGCAGAGAAAACGAGAAAGACACAGACAAAGAAAGACGTCTGTGCGCCGAGATTTGACCGACACTATACCGGCAACCGGCACTAAACAGGGACCTCTACTGTACGTTACCCTTGGCGGAAAGGTTGTTTTCTTTCTTTGTATAGGACTAAAGTATGGGAAAAGAGCGAGCGTCAACCCCTTGTCTTCAGGCCGTTAAGGCAATAATACTGTATCGCGTCTGTATTTCTATTTCCACTGTCGTGGGAGGTTTTTTATCTCTTGGAACAGCAGTGCTTGCTGTTGCTTGGCTCTCAAAGGTAGACTGAGCACAGAGGGGGAGGACTGTTCCAAGGGGCCCTCCATCTGGGGACCGTGGAACACCGAACCCCGCCTCACCCTCCCCCGGGGAGTGATTGCTCCGCGGGAT